TCTCACATGTCCAGTTGCCCCCGACTTGTTGCCCCCAACTGGACATCTGTGAAAAGAAAACGCTTCGTAGCTTGTCAGATTCCTCCAGGATTCTGATTCTGAGGGGGACAGCTCTCGTCACCGCCGTCTCCTTGCCTCCACGCAGCCCCCACACCTACAGCACCTGGCAAGCCGTGGCAGTGGCCACCGATCCCATAACTGAGGGGGGGGGGGCAGAGGGGGGCAAAGGGGGGCATGTTACCAAGATCTCACGAGATCCGGAACATTTACCCTAACTCTGTCACGGGCAAAAATGTGTGTTCTACCATAAACTGAATATATACGGAGTGAATAGTGCACGCAGAGATTCAGCTGCAGATGCTCATCGCCAGCATCTGCATCTTTATTTCGAGTGGAGAAATCCGATGAGTTGCGACGGCCTTTACCACGAACACATATTTTTCGTTCTCTGGGCGGTCAGAGATGGAGACGCTGCGGTTTGTTTTTCATATTTAGTTTGCGAAAGAAGGCTCCGCCTGCTTCTGCTTTCACGATGATGCGCACGTCTTCGCGGGGGGGGGGGACAGTAGGGGACGCTCCTTGTCCCTGCGTCCCCTGTAAACACCACCTGCGTCCCAGTCATCCCCGACTTGCGGCACGCAGAACACTCGTGGAAAGGGGTGGAGAGAGAGAGAGAGAAGGGGAGGGGGAGGAACGATTGCCTAAGCGCGTGCCACTCTCCACCCACGGTGGTGGTGGCAGAACACCGAGCCCAGCCGCCCGAGTCGCGCACTCTGGGCGACCCCTCGCCTTGTGTGGAAAGAGGCGTGAGAACGAGGTTTAGGTCGGGGAGAAAAACATCATCGTGGCTATGGAGGGTGGTGGGGGAGGGAGGGAGGGGCCCATCTCTAAATGTGGCCGATGACCACATCAGCCGTGAGTGCGCGCGCCCGGTCCCCCCAGATATCATAAACTAAGCAGCGGTTGAGACTGGAGACTCGTTGGTTCTTTCTGTAAAGTCACGTAGTTAGAAATGAAATAAAATAAAACAACCGCAGCAAGAAAATGCTGAAGTCGGCTTCAGAGTTTTCTTGCTGTGGGTCCCACCTGATGAGGTTCACTTGTGTTGCGCCCGAAACGTAGTGATCTATTATATTTTATTTTATACCTACGTGACTTCACCGAACGAACCAAAGAGTACGGAGTGAAATCTCTCGCCGCACCGTACTCACGTGGTGTCGCAAGCTACGCCGCCCACCTTCGCCAACCCAAACTGACCAGCGCGGTGAAGTATGGTCGAACTACGTCCGCGAACCGTGCGGTGCTGGGAGGCCGGCCATCCAACAGCGCATCAGCAAAGAGGCTGTCAACGTGCAGGTCATTTGGATTATTGGACCATATCCGTCATCAGGCTGGGCGTTGCGGGTTCGTGAAGGCAGGACGCAAAGGCCTGGGGGGCATAGACATACAGTACAACACCGCTTTATCTGCAGTGCGTCTTCGCTGACCGTCACGAAGTCTCGTAGCCTATTACAGACTTGATTTGAAGCTTTCGTGACTGCAGGAATTACCCTCTGGTTCTTTCGGTAAAGTCACGTAGAAAGAAAATAAATTAAATAGTAGACTACGACGTTTCGTCTGCAACACAAGCAGTCGTCATCAGGTAGAACTACATTTGAGAGAGAGACAACACAGACACGGAGACACACAGACAGACACACAAGCAGAGAGAGACAACACAGAGGCATTGGGTCTCTGTGTGTCTATGTTGTGTCTCTCTCTGTGTGTGTCTCTGTGTTGTCTCTCTCTGCTTGTGTGTCTGTCTGTGTGTCTATGTTGTGTGTCTCTCTCTGTGTCTCTGTGTTGTCTCTCTCTGATTGTGTGTCTGTCTGTGTGTCTCCATGTCTGTGTTTTGTCTCTCTCTCAAATTTAGTTCTACCCGATGACGATTGCTTGTGTTGCAATCGAAACGTCGTCTTCTATTATTGAATTTATTTTCTATCCACGTGACTTTACCGATAGAACCAAAGAGCCTATAACAAGTTTAACACGTAGTCGTCTTTGGCGACCAATATAACCCAAAATAGAGGTTTTCTGGGTTCGATCGCGTAAATATTTACGCAGCCTATAACAAATCCGCCGCGAGTGGCGGTCGCCCATCCGAGCACGATCCGGTCTCAGACCAGCCCGGCTTGCAATCCGGGGCGAGCCGTTATTATAAATGACCGTTGTTGTTATTTGTTGTTGTCGTTACGACTTACTGCCCGCCAGGGATGTTGGGTGGCCAACGCGCGCTAGAGCGTCGGTCACTCGACCCGCCGCAGGGGAGGGGTTAACCGAGAGAGACGCTGCTACGTGCCGTTCTCACCGCTGAACGTCCTCATTCTGCGTGGCGCGGGGGCTGCACATCTGCTTCACGCTTCCCCATTTTCGGGGGGGGGGGAGGGGAAGAGGCGGGGGCGGTGGGGAATCTTACGGCCCCGTTGGCTCACGCTTCATTAATTTCCACTGGTCGCAAAGACGGCATGTGACGACGTGCCAGGCTGTACGCATGTTGAACGTAGGAACCACCCTCCCCCGCTCCCCCCCCCCCCCCCCAATAAGGTCACAAATCGTCGTTATGATTGTGATTGTTGTGAATATTGTGTCCGCTGTTACCCCACACCTCTCTGGACCCACGCGCCACCGGTTGCTTTTGCCTCCTCTGGTTGAAGCTAATCCGGGAGATTTTTTTTTTAACCAAATTAATTGACTTTTTTTATTTTACAAATATATGAATGGAATTTGCCGGATGATCGCTTTTTTCGATCGGCACAGGGAAATCGATGTCAATTCCCGTAGAGACTCCCGGCCAATCCGGGAGGGTTGGCAACCCTGCGCCCCACCGTTGCCACGGGGGCAGCAGCATCCCACTCGAGGCGTCGTCGTGTGAAATAAATGAGCGCATGTCCCTTCTCAAGACCCCCCCCACCCCCGCGCGCACGTCTATCGAAGCTCATTGGGCCTCAACTAAGTTTGCATTGAGATTTAAGAAAATGGCTGTCAAGAATGCCGGCTGTAGGGTAAACTCAGGGTGAAACCTAGAAAACGTCCGATTAGCACGGTTGGCTACGAATGGCGCGAAGGAAGTACAGCGCGCACACGCACACACCACGTACCAAACGCAAGAATCAAAATCTGCGCGTGTCGCTCATTCGCGAGAGCGTTCCGTAGCGCCGGGTTCAACGGCGTCGTTTGTCTCTCGCCGGCCAGACCTGGTGAGCCCCGACACGAAGTTGGCGCTCGCCGACACCGACGTGGAGCTGAGCTGCGTCCCCGGTGGGGCCGGCGGGACCGGTGGGGCCGGCGGGGCCTCCGTCCGCTGGACGCTCAACGGTAGAGTGCTGGAGGAGAATACGACGACGAGCGGCGGCGGCCTGCTGCTTCGGCGCGTCACGCCCAGCGACAGCGGCCTCTACATCTGCCACGACGACAGCATGCGCTTCCTGCAGAAGGACACGCTGCTCGTAGGGCTGTGAGTCAGACGAGCCGCGGATCGGCGTCTGCCGACGGAATTGGGCGGCGGAAAAATTCACCGGCGAATTGGGTTTTTTGTTGTTTGTTTGCGTGGTGTGAATAATTATAAAAGTATAAAAAATTTTTTTTACCTCGAGCTGTCCAGGGCTGAGCTCCTGAAAATAAATCCCCCTACCTACACTCGGCGTCAGGGCAAGCTGGGTGGTGGCGGGGGTGGAGTTGGGAGGGGAGTTCCAGAAAGTATTCCACGACAGATGGAGCCCTAATGATCACTTTGAGTTGACAATGGATTTACAACTACCCACCAAACCTCAAAGTGGGACCGACGAGACGATGACATTATCGAGCCTGAATAAAGATGTAGACTCATTATTTAATGGATGCAATTGTGAACAATAGCCGTACCAGACATTGGTACATCTAATCGCCACAATCATTGGTGTCACTGCAGCTCAAAGACTCAGTCCTACAAGGCATGAAGTTGAGCTTTGTCTCTTGCAGCAATTGAGAGTCGCGTTCAAAGGTTGCTGGTCATTGACCCCAGATGCACTTGAGCAGTGTGATGGAGGTGTACGCTCTACACGACCTGATCTGAAAGCATCCAAAGACTCATAGCAGATCGTGCTCAGGCAAGAGCGGCTCGCTCAAGAGTGGGGTGACCAGCTCCTAACACAAGAGATGTATTAGAGACATACGTGCACCGAGAAGGACCACGATGGCAACTGGCTGTACACAGTATGTATATGTACGTGAAAATGTTTCATGAGTTCACTGATTGGCTGATCTGATCATGTCATGAGTAGGGAAATGTGCACCCTTCACACAGCACACATATCGTTCGAACAGACTTAAAGTTCCACACGATGTCATCGACTAGTCTAGGACTGTGACTAAAATAAAATGTAACGCAATTGAACACTGGTGAGCACCAGCAAGCGACCGCCTACTTTTCTCAGTGAAGGGTAGTGGCATAGCCATGGAGTGTGCAGGCGGTGCAACTGCACCGGGGCTCACGGAACAGAGGGGCCTGGGCACCGGGCTACGAAGTGAGGGGAGGAAATTGGACTTGGGGCCCGAATTCATTCCTGACGATGAGGGCCCACGCCTACCAAGCCAATGGGAGGTCGCTCAATCTCTTCTGCTGCGCCCAAGGTCTAGAACTGTGGACTTCCTGCCTCTATTTGGCTCCAGGCTCAAAACCTTCCCTTTCTCTTATGGCTGCCTCGTTCTCTCTGTTCAATAAATACACCCCACCGCTTGTGTAAAGCATCTTGAAATTTGGTTGGCTTTATACACGATACAGATCAAAATTGAAGTGTATTGTTTCGTATGGAGAACTATTGACGTACACGGAGCGTAGACTTACGCAGAGGCCCATCGACCCAGGGACATTAACACTGCGCCATTACGCCCCCCACCCCGCCGCACACTCCTCGATAGATGGGGGGCACACATTGCTCACTCGTGCTCTGGAGTTAAAATTACATAAACAAATAAACTACCACGGTGTGTCTGTGTGGGCAGACCTCCCCGAGAAGCCGACGGTCTCCTGCTGCAGCAACAACCCCCACTTGATCGTGTGCACCTGGGTACCGGGACAGCACGCCGACCTGCCCACACACTTCAGGGTCAACACGACGTTCGCGTGAGGCTTCCTGCCGCTCACACAGCACCTGCGCAACCCACCGCCACTTAGACCACGACCCCGCCACCGACCTTTGGTCATCCTCGCAGCAGCAGCGGCTTTTTTGGCCGGCCATCGAACAAGGACGGTCACCGCATTGTGTGGCGCGCTTCTGTGGCCGTCTGGAATGCTCTTCCTTCCGATATTATGAAGCCACTCGGGCTATGCACTTTGAAATCGTCTAGATTGAAAACGCATTTTCCTTACAACTCGTTTTTGTGTCTAGTTTGTTGTCCTTCGCCCGCACCTCCGATTAGCATGGTTGACTACGTACGGTGCAAAAGAAGTTCAACTACATACGTACAACCTCCATAGGCACTTGTGGCGCCTGGAGCGCTCTAGAAAAGACAAGGCGGGCAGGGCTCTGGACAAATTAGTCAACATGAAGCAAGCAGTGGCGGCCAGTTGCTCTAATCTTTGATGGGGCAGTGCCCGCACCACAGTATCACGGTGGGGGGGGGGGGGGTAAAGATGACACCTTGCTTTGAGCAGTCATATTGTCTCGCTACAGATTGTCTCATTCATCACTTGTCGTCACTATTGACTGAGACAACATAGCTTTGTCGAAGAACATTTTCCGTCGACGATTTCCTTCGTCAAACGAACGGACTGTTGTCCCCCCCCCCCCCCCGCCCGTAACGTGGTGCGTGGTTTGCAGGAAGACGCGTGTGGAGTGTCGGCATGGTGCGGACTTGCCCCCAAACACGTGCCACTTGCCGGGAACATTAATGGCGTACGGCAAGTACGTTGTTACGGTGACGGCCATCAACCCGCTGGGCTGCAACTACAGCAATTCCTTCAGCTTCTTCCACAAAACAATCTGTGAGTGGTCCGTGCTCACTGCACTCACTCACCGCACCACCCCATTCCCCACGCATCTCTGATAAGCACGGTTGGCTACGTCCGGTGCGAAAGAAGTTCAACACACACGCACACACAGGTGTTCCCACTGCACCAAGCTGCCGGCCACTTCGCGCAAGAAGAGCGCAAAAGTGATGTCATCACATCTATGCCTGTCTCGGCGTCGCTGTGCGCTGCGTTGCACCACTATCCGAGTAGTTAACCTCGCATTCAATAAACCTTCAGAGCCAGGGTGAACATCCGACTCCAACGTATTTCATTAATAGAACTAAGTAAAACTGATGGAAAAACACAGCACAAAATACAGCATCATAACATTGTGTTATATAACATGAATCTCAATAATAGGTCCTGGATGGACCAGACACCTACATTAGCACTGAATAGCTATACAACAAGAGAATAAGCTACTGTGTTCAATAAGGTCATTTTGTGTAATCACCATACTGCAGCCCAAATCTACAACGCTGCACATAACACTGAACTGTTGATGAGATACTTCTTCATCCTTGCTCTCTAGAACACATTAAAGTTACATGGGCACAAGTCTGGCTTGACTTATCCAGCTATAAATAAGATTCACAATAATGCAAGTGGCAGGCTTCGTTGTTAACTAGGCCTCATACTTATCATAAGCATTTAACAAAATTACAAAGGCATTTACAGCATTATAACGGAAATCCTAACATTATAACAGCATTCCCAGTATTATAAGATCATTAACTTAGAGACAATGCTTCTTAAAGTCCCATAATTAACTAATTGTCCCTCTATTTTGTACTCTTTGTAATGGCTGACACCCCTGCCTTGCCTCGTGGCTTCAAGACCCTTAACTCGTAACTTCCTGGTCACGTGACCAAACTCAACACCATCATATCAGGAAGTTCCTGTGTAAACACACCCCCATATCTGCCGTGGGGCAGAAGAATGCCTCTATTTAAGGAACGAAACAGGTGGACTTCTCCACAAATCGGGCTGTCGCCTGGTAAAGCTAGTTGTAATTACTGGCGAAATGTCGTATTCAGATTGTAAATGTTGTGGCTTGGCTCTCCAACACACCGGTGTGCTGTACTAGTAACGAATTGGCACGTTCTGTTTACGTGACAAACCTTACTAATTGGCTGTGTCGGGTGGTGGCGGGTTTAACGACACATTTATAAATTTACGTGATCTAACCCAAAAAAACTATATTACGGATGATATTGGTCGCGAAAAAGCCTACTACGTGTTAAACTGATGATGTTGTTTATTTGTTGTTGTCATGCACGTGGCGGGTGGTTGGCTGGTTGGGCTGGTTGGTGGGTGGCAATGGTGGAACCGGTCTCAGTGAAGCCGGATCCCCCCGGTGATCTCGGCCTGCGCTGGACCGGCAATGCGCTGCACGTGAGCTGGAGCTACCCGAAGACGTGGGCCGAGGAGGCCGACGCCTTCCCGCTCTGGTTCCAAGTATGCTACAAGACGGCCATGTCCCGGGTGTGCAACGAGGTAATTCACGACGACGATGATGATGACGACGATGACGACGACGAAATCAACGTCGTCATCGCTGATGTCAACGGCAATCATGAAGGCATCAACGCCACGTGAAAAACACAATTGCCAAAATCTTCACCACCGCTAACATCAGCACCAAAGACAAAGATCCCCCGTTTAGTTTTTCAGCACCAATGACAAAGATCCCCCGTTTAGTTTTTACAGACTGTTTGTCTCCCTTGCACAAGCATCAGTAATACGAACACCCACTGGTATAAAGGAGGTCGTGGGTTTGATCTGAATCCAGATACCTGTATATTTGGAATTTGCATGTTCTCCCATTGGTAGTGTGGATTCTTCTCCGGGTCCTCCGGTTTCTCCCTTCACATTTAGAATCAACAAAGTGCGTTTAGAGTATTTGGCTGCTATCAATTTGCACGTGAAAATTTCGTACAGCTATCATTTGTGGCCAGGTCGCTTCTGAAAAAGAGCTATACAGCTCAGTGGGGCCTTACCTGGTAAAATAAAATAATTGGTTCAGTTTAGAATAATCCGGAAATGCGAACACATTTCCGAAATTTACCTGAAACTACAAAAATACGTAATATGATTTTTTTGTGCTGAATCGGAAACTCTCAAAAACGTCCGAATTGCGCCCTCTTTTATTGCAAATTAAACACAGCTTCGTGACACAGCCAACCGCTAAAACCTCTGACGCAGCAGCGGATCTTCAGAGATGGTCACGGGGGGAGGTTGTACCCACTCAGCCTCCCCGCCTCTTCCAGTTGCAGCCATCGTGCCGGGGACCACAGCGCGGAGTCGCAGAGAATTACACCATCACCAGCTATCGAATATCACACACCACAAACACTGCTACAGAAACGTATGTGATCTACAGATCATCATCATCAACCGTAGCCATTCCACTGCCGAGATGAATGCCTCCCCAGTTGTCACCGTTGCACATCCGATTTCCCGGACCTCTGTTTAGCACGATTGGCTACGTACAGTGCGACAGAAGCTCAGCATACGTACAAACATACGTCTCTCATGGTCTCACAATCATGACGATGATTCGTTTTTGATCACTCGTCCTTCACGCCAGAGGATCTCAGAGTGGTTTAACACGCGTTAAAACGCAATTGTTTAAAAAGTTAAAACTGACGAATGAGTAAAACAAACAATTGCTTTAAAATACGTAGGGTTATTGTTTTTTTTTTTGTTATCTAGCTCCAGCACCTGAGCTATTAATATTCGTGGTTCCATTTCCACAAATGAACGTCTCGACCACCGGCCCTTGGCCCCACCTCTTTATTTCATCCTTTTGATCCTGCTCCACCTTCAAATGACTGCCCTCCGTGGCATACACACTCCGTCGCGCTTCCCAGTTGTGTTTCCTTCGATATCTGCGATCGTTTGGCGAATTTGTCGAACAACTTATCGTCCGTGGCTTTCGCCTCGCCCGTACTTATCTCGAGCCCCACTTTTGCAGCCTTTCCCTGCCAATAAGCTCCGAGCGTTCTTTCCCCACGGGCTGGTTTTCATTGGTTGTCGCCACCGTCGGGCGGAAAACGGACAAAAACGAAATCTTCGCACAGAGGACAAAAAGCTGCGGCCACGCGCAGAGCTATGGTGTAGTGGCGTGAACCACCGGGGCCAAGCAACTTCAGGGCAGGCAAACGGTCAACGTCGAAAATTAAAACGGCAAATTCCTATTTTTTTGGCTTCCTAAAAGAAAAACTCTCCCACCGCTGAAAGACCAGAAACATTGCCAACCCTGGCGCCTGAGCAAGTCGCCCCCGATAATGTCTGACCGTGTACCACGGACGGTTGGCAAATGCTAACGAGGATTTTCTCGAAGCAATTTATCCCCGCGTAAGAAATACATAGCATAGCAAGGTTAGAGTGGTAGCTTTTTAACATCGATAAACGAGGGTGCAATTTGTACATTTTCCAGAGTTTTCGATTAAAGCAAAAAAATCTGAATAGTATTTTCCTAGTTTTTAGGGCACTTCTGGAAATGAGTTTGCAATTCCGGATCATTCTAAACTAAACAAATGTTTTTTTATTTACCAGGTAAGGCCCACTCAGCTATATGGCTCTTTATCAGAGGTGACCTGGCCACAACATGATGGAGTGGCTTCTTGTTTGGAAATGTATCGCAGCCAAATACTCTGAACGCGTGATGTTGATTCGAAGTGTGGAGGGAAAAACCGGAGGACCTGAAGAGAAAAATCGATGCGACCACGGGGAGAACGGCACCCCAAGCTCCAAATATAGAACAGGCATCAGGGTAGAGGCAAACCCACGACCTCCTGTATACCAGACGAGGTAGTTAACTTCTCGCCACCTGTGGAGCCCTCGTTCTCATTTCGCCCTCTTCCTCTCTGGCTTCTATCTTGCCACCCTGTTAAAGCTTTCGGGACTGCAGGGATTCGTCTTCTTGGTTCTTTCGGTAAAGTCACGTAGAAGGGAAATAATAAAATAATAAAAATAAAACATAATAAAATAATTCTCACGACGTTTCGGCCACAACGCAAGCAGCCGTCCTTTTATTATGTTTTATTTTTATTATTTTATTATTTCCCTTCTACGTGACTTTACCGAAAGAACCAAGAAGATGAATCCCTGTTCCTTCTTTGTTGGTTTTTTTCATGCATGGCGCCTTGAGGCCTTGTGAAAAGCGCCAAATAAGTGCAAATTATTGTTGCTACTCTGCTCCACCGAGCGATTGAGGAAAATATCGAGTAACAAAATAATGTTTTGGTGGCAGTCGAAAGAGCACTCGTAATTCGCGGATCGCCGTGTCATTGTGCGTGGCGTGCCATGCAGGGCCCCCCTCTGGACGCCACGGAGATGAACGTCACGGACGTGATGCCCAGCAAGGACTACGTGGTACGAGTGCGTGCGTCCGACAAGTACACGAAGAGGTTGTGGAGTGAGTGGAGCCCCGAGGTGCGGATCAACGCCGCCACAGGTAGCCGTCGCCGCGCCGGGCCGTTTGGCGCGCTCGATTTGCAGAACTGTTCAGTGCTGATGTGGACTTTGGCGAGCGAGCCAGTGGATGGCTTCAGTAGATTGGTGATCATGTGCAATGCTGCACGGTGACTTTTCAAAAAGGCCGTGGGTATATATATATGTCTAACTGCTCTTGCCTTGTGTGCTTTCAGTAGATTCGAACGATCTTGATCTCCAATTCAAGGTGAGGCCACCGATTTAACACAAACTCTATGGGTTTTCTAACAGGGCCAATTTAAGCGATAGGCTGCAAAGTTTTTAGGCCCTTGTTACCACATACCAAATTTGAAAGTTAACCATTCACTTGCTAACGTTTTGAGAAAATGAATTGACTAGCATTGCTGCCTTGAAACTCTGCCTAGCGGTAAAATGGTAAAACAAAATTGGAAGCCTACCACTAAATTCATATAAACGTGGAATTTCCACTACCACCAACCACCTCGGGGGTGCCAATGGAAATGAATGCTGATCCGTACCTGTTGGAGAACGTCTACCTATTTCAAGATTGATTGAACCTGATTGGAAAATGAATTGAAAATATTATTACATTCATAATAACCACAGCACTAATGCGCTCGCAAATATGTTTTCTCTAAAGCAGACGCAAACGATGACGCCGTTTACTGATGAACAGACTGAGTGGTACACTTTCAGCCCAAAAGGTAAAACCAGATCGCAAGCGTTCATTTACAAGCCGAGAGCTTTGTCGCGTAACAATGAGGGTTCGTGCTCGTCAGATGCTTTAAAGAAATTCCACTTGTAAATGACGAGATGAACCCCCCCCATCACAACGTAATAACAGCACGTAGGTAAAAATTTTAAATTAATAAAAGTTAAAATAAAGCAAAATAAAAAATAAAAAATCACGACGTTTCGGAAGCAACACAAGCCTCCGTCTTGCTTCCGAAACGTCGTGATTTTTAATTTGTAATTTTGTTTTATTTTACTTTTATTAATTTAAATTTTTTACCTACGTGACTTTACCGAAAAAACCTAAGAATATGAATCCTTGCAGTCCCGAAAGCTTCAAATCTAGAAGTAATAACAGCACTGGCTGGAAAACCACAGGTTTCAAATAACAACAGAGACAACGTAGACAAAAAGTGCAAGTCCTCTGTACTGACGCAAAATCCATCTGCATTTCCTGAAGAATGCACTGTGGTCATTTTTAACGAAAGGACCACAATGCATGTCTTCAGACAATGATGGGTATTTTGGTATTAAGCACAATTGCTGTGTGGCTTTAACACATTTATGTCATGTTGTTTGATGAAAACATCTAAAAGCACCTTACAAAACACAAGACAATGCAAATACTACTATTACGCTCTCCCTCACACACTGGAACACTCACACACAATACAATATACACAATCTCAAGTGGTACTTTCACACAGTATATTCACTAGCGGAGCCAGTGGGGGGGGGGCACATACCCCCCCCCCCAATGACCCGATCGAAAGCCCTAATTTCGATCGGATCATTGGGGTTTATTCGTAATAAATCGGCATTTTGCGACCCCCACTGCCACTGTAGCGTTATGAGACCTCCTTTACCAGTGGCAAAATATAGTAATAGGTTTTTACCCTTTCAACTGGTACAAAACTGACACCTTTATACAAGGGATCATGTTTGCAATAACCTGAGGTGTGGACCAATCAACTTCAAGGACAGTGAATATCATTATCAGAGTTGTTTATTTTTGTTTGCATTTTGACTGCTTGTGTTGTGGTTATTGCAAACATGATCTCTTGTATAAAGGTGTCAGTTTCGTACCAGTTGAAAGGTTAAAAACCTATTACTATACTGTGTAGCATATTATTACGTGCCAGGGACTCTATGAGATGATAGGACAATAGTCTGAGTCCTTAATTGGCAATAAGTAACGGCAAAGCGGTTATAAGTGACTCACAGAATTGTGCGCAGTTGCGTACACAGCACACGACTTCCCTGGAGGCATCAACACCTTCAGCGAGCGCGATGCCGATCACACAGCGCGGTTCGAATTCGACCCTCGATCGATGGCTGTGCCATCGCCGCACACGCGTCGAATTAAAAGCAAGGGACAGGTCCTCACTTACTAACAACTATCATTTTTCATTGCTGGAGGGGTTGCCCCCCCCTACCTGAAAATCCTGGCTCCGCCATTGAATATACTCATGCACAGTACACTCACAAGCGGATCACTGTTGTGCAATATTCATAAACATTATAGTCACTCAACGCACGGTCGGTTACAACTGCCTACGTGTGTGAGTCCGTGTTTACCATCGCTGTGAAACAACTATCTTTGCTGTAATATTAGGAAAACAAGAAATAAGAGTCTGGCTTGGCCAACCCAACGAGTGCACGGCGAGCACGACTGAAATTAACAGTTCGACACACGTAGAGTTACAAATACGACAAGATCTATCTATAGGGCATGTTCGACAGAAGTTTCTTCATTATCTCGGAGAGATTCAGTGAGTCTCGGGACTTTTTCAGGAGGATTCAAATTGTTTTGCCCATTTGCTGAAAGTGCGCGTGGGAGTGGTGGCACAGCGGTTAGCGCACTGGACTATGAAACCCGACAAAGACATTTTCAAAGGTGACATTTACAGCTCCCCAGGTGGCCACGTTAACATCGGTGGCAAGTGTTATCCGAACCAGCCATGCACAACCCACCTTCACCACAACCCACATTGACCGGCGTGGTGAAGTATTGTCAAAAATGCCGTAACTGATATGACGTGGGGAAGGCTGTCACCCTGCAGTGGACAAAGCGCTTGTGGAGTATTGTAATAATAGTTCGTGTGACGATTCGTGCTCCCCCCCCCCCCCACCATCTCTCGCGACGACGTCTAGTCCCCCCGGATCCCATGCCAAACACCGGGGCCTTCGCCAACGGGAAGAAGGAGATGTACATAGCCATCGGTTGCACCGCCGTGTTCCTCCTCACGACCGTCGTCTTCATCGTCGCCGTTATCTACACCAGGTCTGTCACCCCCCCCCCTTCGCCCCCGCAACGGCCGCTCTGCTACCGCCCCCCCCCGCCTCCTCGCAAGCCCCCCTACTGAGCTCCCAGTTTCTAGATTTGAAGCTTTCGTGACTGCAAGGATTCATATTCTTAGGTTTTTTCGGTAAAGTCACGTAGGGTAAAACATTAAAATTAATAAAAGTAAAATGAAATAAAAATCACGGGTATTTTCTGGCGTGATTTTTATTTTATTTTACTTTTATTAATTTTAATGTTTTACCTATGTGACTTTACCGAAAAAAACCTAAGAATATGAGCTCCCAGTGTCAATGTCGCTTCATCACCCGCGCCTGTAGAGGAGACAGCATCGCCCCCCCCCTGCCCCCAACATTCCAATCCCTCCAATGGCTTCCAATCCGATGCCAGATCGATTTCAAGATCACACTCACCGTCTTCAAGATCCTCCGTGGGAACGCCCCTTGCCTACTCCCCTCTCATCTCACTCTGCTCCCCGCCACGCGCTCCCCTACCGCCCCGCGCTCCACTCACTCCACTAAATTTCCCTCCACGAATTCTCCACTCGCACAACCGAGGCCATTCTGTGGAAGCCTCCCGCTCAACCTTCGCTCAGTGGGAGGTCGCTTACTCTTCCATGCTGTTCCCACAGTCTGGAACTCCCTTCCCCCCTGCCATCTGTGCAGTCAATTCCCTGTCCATGTTCAAGTCTACGCTTAAGAACATTTTAATGTTTCCTTAAGGCCTTCCCAAGATGCGTTTGTCATGAACGTTCTTTGACCATACTTCACCACACTGGTCAGTGCAAGTTGACAGAGGAGAGGATGGGGGGTGGTGGGGTTCAGATATGACTCGCCACTGATGCTACTTCTGGCTGGCAGTGGAATTCAGGTCACGGGGTTCAGAGAATAATGCGCCAACCACTGTACCACCACTCCTCCCAATTACACATTGTGAAAACGTAATTAAACGTTCTTATTGAAGACTGTCAATTGCCAATCAGGGGCAGCCAGGACAGCTGCCGATGGCTGTCATGGCTGCAGCGGCAACACGAAGCCAGTGGCCATCAAAGCGGAAGGCAATGGTAAACTACCTCGAGGTGAAACGCAACGCCAGTCACGCAGACGTGGCGACCTTTAAAACGGCTCACCGCACGGACTGAAAGACATTTTTTATAGAGTTCCGCAGTGGACCCCACTTCCACCCCAAGAGCCGAACACAGGAACCAAGATCCACGACTTCTTCAACGCCAGTTGGGAAGTCACGCAGCAACACCGCCTCCAACTGGCAGAGTAACGCCCACTTGAGGGCTGCCGATGCGTGCACGTTGTGCCACGTGGGGACAGCTGCCACCGGGTGGGGTGGCGGGGTTCCTCTTGGATAGACTGCCTCGAGGTGGTACCACGTGGGGAAGGTGGGGATACGGTGGCGAGATGATAGCTTCTTCTTTCGTATGGCATTATTATGGATTGAAACGGATTTCAAATTGATGTCGAGATTGGAGATCCATTTGAGTGCTTCAAGAGAAGCCACGTGGAGTTGTTTCAGATCACCATTGAATTATCTGATTGGGCAGTCGTTCACGAGACATGTTAACTACCTCACCTGGTATGCAGGAGGTCGTGGGTTTGATCTTGACCCTGATGCCTGCTGTATATTTGGAGTTTGCATGTCTCTATCCCTGTGGTCACATTATTTTTTTTCTGAGCCCTCTGGTTTTCTTTCCACGTTTAGAATCGACGTTGCATTCAGAGTATTTGGCCGTTATACATTTCCACGTGATAAGCCACTTCGTGGAGCTAAATTGTGTGGCCAGGTCGCTTCTGAAAATGAGCTACTTAGCTCAAGTGGAGCCTCACTTGGTAAAATGTAAAACATTGAACAAAAATTGTTTCAAATATTAAATGATGATGATCAACATGTGTGGCTTTGCTCTCGTTCTTCCTCGCTCCCCACCATCATCGCTGCAGGAAGAGGCTGGCGCCGGTGGTGTTGGCTAGTGCCCTCCCGTGGAGCGGGAGGCTCAAGCGCGGCGAGACGGGCGATGAGGACGACTCTGCCAACGACAAACCCAGGCCGGTGTCGGCATCCGATGCCGGCGACGCCGAGGGGGACGTCT